TGAAATTACATATTGGAATTGGGCTATATTCTAGCTAGTTACAACAAGAACACTATCATTACCTACCTTTAGATTAACTTTGAAATAATAGTAGACACCTTCATGTTAATAAATCTTTTAAAGATTCTTCCAAATATCATTTTAAACATGTGATTGCTTTTATCATATATTTTTGTAATATTAGATTTAATACTTGCTCTCATCTCAGAACTCGTACCAAAAAGGTAATAATACCTTTTATTTAGGTAAATATTTACGTTTTGAAGAATATTTATTTTATTTGTGGTCAGCTACAAATTTGAGAGAGGAAAAGTACTTATTGCATATATTATAACATAGTTATTAGTGTAATTCTTGTAAAATCAATGGATAACAATGGTCATATGGTAAGATTTTGAATTTATTATAGTACTGAAGGGTATATATTGAGTTCATAAAGTATCTATCTTTATCTTTCATGATAGATGAGAGGAATCCATTATTTTGATCCAAAAGAAGAGCTATATCTAAAGCTATATATTCACTACAACATTGACGATTCTTATATTTTTTTATATCTAGTGAGTAATAACAGATTTATATATAATTCTTGAGCCACTCTCATGATATTGAAGATTCTATCTCAACAAAAAGTTAATTTTCTTGGTCAATATAATTTACTATGACAGATTTGCCATATATATCATATAGACTTTTTTCTGAAAACTCAAAATTTTGTCTTGCTAAATTGATATCTATTACTTTTCCTTGGCTATCAAGATGTGATCCAAACTTATCAACAGGCAAAGTAATGTCAGCAAGCTTGGCAGATAGAGAAGCTATACTACATTCAATAGGATTATATGCACTTTGTTCCAGAGCATGGATATGAATAGTTAAATAGTTGAGGTTAAGACTGCAAAATAAATTACAGTATTTGATTATATTCTTCATATGTCTTGGATTTTTATCAGGTCCTCCATCAACAAGAATCCAAATCAGTCTAACCTTGTTATTTCTTGTCAAAATCATGGTAAAATATTAATTTGCAATAATACTTTGAAGGTCTGACATATGGGTTGATGATATTGTACCAATGAAATACTTTGGTCTAATGAAAATTGCAAGCTGGCCTGATTATAGAGTATCATTTGAATTAGCTAGATCAATAATAAGGTAAACTAAAGGTATAAGTTTCATTTTACTACCAGTTGGAAAGTCATGATCTTCAATAGAAACAGGCTCACTAATTATTTACATAGTTTTAAAGGTACAACCAACTGCTAGAATGTCCAAACTAACTTTTGTCTTGTCATCCTGGGAGATAATAACTGCTTTATCTGTAAAGACTTTGACAAAAATTCTAGCAACTTTGATAGAGGCTAGACAATAATGTTCATCAATGTGAGATTTCATATCTGTTCTTGCTACTGAGACAAGACCAACCTTGGCTAGGTGATGATGACAACATGTAGCAAAAGTATATAAATGATGAGATTTGAAATATGTCAATAAATACTGACAAGACAGGTAGATATTATATTTTTCTTCAAATTCTTTGCATAAATACTTTATTGTCTGTACTTTAATAGTGACCTTTCTTCTTTTGGTATGAGCAGCTCCAAATTCAATGCAACTATGAATTTTATCCCAGAAGTCTAAATAGAGTATTGCCATTGATGGTCTTCCAGATCCATCATACTTCTCTACCATTTTTTTTTCTTCAAGCAATTTTGCTTTTTTGGCTACAAGTTTTGCTTGTGCACTAGCATGATATTTCAGTTTTTCAAGCTGTATTTTCTGATTCTTGATTAGCTTTCTTTCAATAATAATGTTTGATATCAAAGTTTTTTTGAGTGATTCATTTGTTGTAAATGTATATATTTGCTCATATTCTAACAAATCTTTAGTGGCCTTTTTGATTTTTTCAGCTGCATTACATTGGCCTACAGCATTTTTCGGCAATATTGCAGTATCAACTTGTCTCAGGAAAGATATATTTCTTGATGCAAAGGAAGAAAGGAAAGAGTGACTAGAATTAGAGTTAGCTACACTATGTCAGATAAAGAAAGATTGGTAAGAGCGAGTATGGGAGGGAACTATGTCAAAATATTCATGTATTTTGTCGTAAATTAATGATTTGTCTTGGTGCTTGACTTGTTTTCAAGCCATTACACATTCTTGCATAAGTTTTTGACAGTTGAAATTGGAGTTACAAAGAACTATTTGTTTATAATATGCATATGTATTGCAAAATTCTTGGTATAGATCTTGGAATTCTTTATAAAAAAAAACTTTATTAAACTTGGGCGCTGATAAAAAGCTTTGCATGATCATTTTTTACATGTAAAGTTTAATTAATCAAGAACGCGACGCGATCTAATCATGATTAAATATTATATTAAATAATCACGTGATTATATAGTACTATCATGTGGAGGGTGGGTGGGATGCTCCTATAATAGCCGAAAATCACATGATAAATGGCGCTCCCCTAACGGAACCCAGTTATTTCTCCAGGGAATCGCCATTTACGTACTGATGTAATCATTCGAATCTTCTCTTTTTCCGTAATACGTGGAGAACCCGAATTAAAAATATTCACCATAGTATTCTTGGTCTGTGATTCGTTATTACTTTGAAGATCCAACGCATGTCGTAGTCTTTGCCATCCCAATCGGAGATGTTGTCTCACTTGCCTCCTTTTGATTTTCCCTTTAAAGCCTAGCCAAATCCCAAATGAAATCCATAAGCTTTTATCCAATTCTGGTAAGGTACCGTTGGCATCAATTATATCTTTATCTACTAATGCGAAAAATTCGGAGGGGATCTCGGATGAATCATAGACATTATTTTTAATAACCTTGGCCTCTCTAATAAGGGTCTCGATTAATAAAACTCTCGTAGAAATTTCATGCCGGAACTTATTTTTTGAAGTCGTTACACGATCCGATGGGAGAATAGGTACACTTTTCCATTCATTTTCCAAATAATTATTTTATCTTGTGTGCACATTCCTCTGGTGGCGTTCTGAGTTCGATGCTAGGAGTATTACCAAAAGATATTAAAATACATTGTTTTTAGAATCTTCAACTCCACACCGCATGAAATATATAGAAGAATATTTTTCTCATGAAAAAAAGCTATTTTTATGGCTAGGTCGCATATTTTTGCGAACTGAATAAATCGCCCTTGTCTAAGTACTGAGCAACCTAACGGAAATTATGTGCCTATTATCGCATAATATACCCGTACAAATAACTCAGGCGACCAATCTGTCACACAAAAGCAACCTAACGCATATAATATATAAAGAGAATTGCCGAAGGCAGTTACAAAGTAGCTAGAAGTAATATACACCCAGTTTGGATCAAAAACGATGTTATTTATTGGTGACGGTATGGGTATGTTAGGTTCCACTGGAAATGATAAATTTTGTTCTTTTTCGAGTTTGCGTTTCTTATTATAACGAGCCTGGCGTGACAGTTTCTTTTTTCCGGGTAATACCTCCTCCGACGTGACAGCTTCTTTTCGTTTGTTAGAGTCGGACGAATTCATAGTCGGTATATTTATGACGGTTCGAGATGTAATTCGAGTAGAGGGGTTCGAGGTGTATTAACTGATAGCAGAGAAAAAAGACAAAAGTGACGCTAATCGACGAGCCGTTAAGGTTATATAACCCTAGAGCCGAGTCCTACTCAAGAAGAATAATGTATACTTTCGCGGAAAAAGAAGCGTGGGAAGTAACTGTTGATAATCGGTAAAAGGGATATATATATATGATGATCGTCTTAAACGTATCACGAATTGCTGATATATTAATTGATCGAATACTTATTAATCAATACATGCATCTCGGTCTAGCGAAACCAAAGATAACGAAGAAAGGTCAAATCATATCTTTTATTATTTTTTTGTAAAACGAGAGAGTAAGAGACCGGCTAAGTAAAAATGATAGAGAAGCGGAATTTAAAGGGAGGAATAAAG